TTAAAACTCAGTAAATCTTTTGGTTCTATACCTACATTTGGCCATCATTCCAGTTCTCAGCATTGTGCAGGACAAGTAACTGAGGTCTGTTTTTGTAAACCAGGAACCTGAGGCACAGAACAAGTAAGGGGATAGAAATAAATGCTGTAAGAACAAATAATTTTATTTAAAAATTTATGTTTTTCATTTATTTTTTAGAAGAAGCATTAATAAGTAGGCAGTAGTTTCTGGGTATTAAAAAACCATCCTTTCTTTTTCCTTATAAAAGAAGTCATAACAGTGAACATATATAGCACTTAGGTTATAAAGGGTTTCACATCTTATAATCCCAGTACTTTGACAGGCTGAGAGGGGAGAACCTCTTGAGGCCAGGAGTTCAAAACCAGCCTGGGTAACATAGCAAGGCCCTGTCTCTATTAAAAAATAATAAAACAAAGGATTTCACATGCATTTTAGAAATTAGACCTCCCAAAGTTGTGAGATTTGTAATAATGCTCATTTTAGAGACTAGAAAAGTAAGCCTCACAAAGGCCATGTGACTTGTCTGCCATGGCACCAGTGCTGAGTGGCAGATCCCTGGACTGGAAGCCACATTCTTCTCACTATACCACATTGCCATTTTCAGCCAACTGGTGCACAGTGCATATTCTCCAAGACAGAAGGGAAGGAGGCTTGATTAACTGTGGCTCAGCCTTTCCTCCTGGTTTTGGGGCTGTGCGTTGTAAGTGGACCATGAAGTCTGTTTGCCTCAGAGCAGGTAACTTCACACCCTGCTGCTGCTGATAAGCAACCCAGGATGAACTGAGCTTGGGAGCAATTTTCTCTCACTCCCATGGTGGCATCTCTTCAGCTCACTTTCTTTTTTTCCTTTTCTCTCTTTTTTGCACTTATTGGTAAGGTATTTTTCAGCTCACTTTCTTTGTGCTGCTCCTCTTCAGTTTATGGCTGTGCAGTTGTCAGTGTTCATGTCAGTCTTCCCAATCTTCCCTCTAAATTTCCTGGTAGCAGCAATGGCCTAGAACACACTGATCTTCAGCACCCTGACAGAAACGGCTGCTGTCACAGTAGGAAGTGTGGCTTCCTGGGCTGCTTCTTGGCAAAGGGCTCTAGCTTGTCCAGATTTGGATGTGCCCCAGGATCTATCAGCTCCAGGAGAGGTGTTGAAAGGCTGGGACGAATGCCTGCCCTGGCAGATGGAGGAAGCTTTGGCTAACTTGAGAGTGCAGTGTAATAACAGCTGCCCTGAGAAGAGATTTCCAGCCGCTCTTGTGTTCTAAGATGGTATCTGCAGCTGTGCTGACCCACCTCTTAGGTGAGGCCTTCACAAGTACCAGCATCTTTAGGGATCTTTACTTCCAGTTCATTGGCAGTTACCACTACTGTGCCACAGAAAGAATCAAAGAGGAATCCAAAAGAATTAGCCAAAATTCTGCTGGCAGTAGTGGCTTATGCCTATAATTTTAGCACTTTGGGAAGCTGAGGCAAGTGGATCCCCTGAAATCAATAGTTTGATGTCAGCCTGGACAACGTGGTGAAACCCCATCTCTACTAAAGATACAAAAATTAGCTGTGTATTGGTGTGTGTCTGTAATCCCAGGTACTTGGGAGGCTGAGACAGGAGAATTGCTTGAACCTAGGAGGCAGAGGTTGCAGTGAGCCAAGATTGTGACACTGCTCTCCAGCCTGGGCGACAGGGTGAGACTCCATCTCCAAAAAAAGAAAAAGGAAGAATTAGCCCAAAACCCAAAAATTCTTTCTTGAAAGGCATCCTTATCAAGAAACCTGGGTGTAGGAGGCTGTAGACTTAGATTCCAGGATTGGCTCTGATGTTGGGATATCGTTGGATGCTACAGAAAACTGATTCAGTCTGGCTTGAACAAAAGGGAAATGTATTATTTTTCATAACTACAAGTAGGGTGAGCTCTAGGCAAGGTCTGATCAGTGGGTCAGCGATGTCCTTAAGGACCCAGAGCACTTTCTGTCTTCCTACTCCTACTCCTCTGTTGGTACCATGCTAACACCAGTGCTGCTGATTTTTCCTTACAGTCCTGAGATGATTCCTACTAAAGCTGCCAGTGGCAATCAGAGCTATAGACTTCACTCATAACTACTGCAGGCAGAAATCTCTCCCATTATGGACCATAAATCCTTTGTGTCAGTCTGGTTAGCCTAATTTAGGCCTCCAGCCTATACTCCTGGATCAATAACTGTCACCATGGGAATGCTGTGCTAATGGGCTCAGAATTGCCCTGTCCAATATGGAAGCGCTAGCCATATGTGGCTACTGAACATTTGAAATGTAGTCTAAATTAAGATATGTTGTACGTGTAAAATACTCATCAGATTCCAAAAACTTCAGCTGGGTACAGTGGCTCATGCCTGTAATCCCAGCACTTTGGGAGGTTGAGGGGGGCTTGAGCCCAGGAGTTTGAGACCAGCCTGGCCAACATGGTAAAATCTCGTCTCTACTCAAAATATAAAAATTAGTTGGGTGTGGTAGTGCGTGTCTGTAGTCACAGCTACTTGGAGGCTGAGACAGGAGAATCGCTTGAACCCAGGAGGTGGAGATTGCAGTGAGCCAGTGGAGATCATGCCACTGCACTCCAGCCTGGGTAACAAAGAAAGACTTGGACTCAAATTAAAAAAAAATCCAAAAATTTCATAATACACACACACGTAAAACATATATTTAATTTTTTTTCCTTTTAAAAATTAGTTTTTTGTTTTTTGACTTAGAAACAAAGTCTTGCTATGTTGGTCAGACTGGTCTCCAACTTCTGAATTCAAGTGATCCTCCTGCCTCAGCCTCAAAAGTGCTGGGATTATAGAAATGAATCACTGTACCTGGCTTATTTATTGTTTTTTATATTGATTACATGTTGAAGGCTGGGTATGCTGGCTCATACCCTAATCACAGCACTTTGGGAGGCTGAGTTAGGCAGATCGCTTGAGGACAGGAATTCGAGACCAGCCTGGCCAACATGGTGAAACCCTGTCTCTACTGAAAATACAAAAATTACCTGGGCGTGGTGGTTCATATCTATAATCACAGCTATTCAGGAGGCAGGAGAATTGCTTGAACCCAGAGATGGAAGTTGCAGTGAGCTGAGATTGCACCACTGCACTCCAGCCTGGGCAAGAGAAAAAGACCGTCTCAAATGAACAAACAAACCACCCTAGAAACCTCAGTTGAAGTAAAATTTTTGATATATTGAGTTAAGTAAAATTTATTATTAAAATGAATTTCACCTGATTATTTGTATTTTTTTTTTTTTGTTTCTTTTTTTTCCTTTTTTGGAAAATGGGGTCTTGCTATATTCCCCAGGTAGGTCTCAAACCCTTGAGCTCAAGCTATCCTCCCACCTCTGCCTCCTTAAGTGTTAGAATTACAGGTGTGAGCCATTGTGCTTGGCTATTTTAAATTTTTTATTTTATTTCATTTTTTTTGAGATGGAGTCTCATTCTGTTGCCTAGGCTGGAGTGCAGTGGCATGATCTTGGCTCACTGCAACCTCAGCTTCCCTGGTTCAAGTGGTTCTCCTGCCTCAGCCTCCCCAGTAGCTAGGATTACAGGTGTGCACCACCATGCCTGGCTAGATTTTATGTTTTTAGTAGAGATGGAGTTTCACCATGTTGGTCAGGCTGGTCTTGAACTTTTGACCTCAGGTAATTTGTCCACCTCAGCTTCCCAAAGTGCTGGGATTATAGGCATGAGCCTTGCCTAGCCTATTTTTTATTTTTTTGAGACAGAGTCTTACTGTCGTCCAGGCTGGAGTGCAGTGGTGTGATCCTGGCTCACTGCAACCTCCACCTCCCAGGTTCAAGCGATTCTCCTCCCTCAGCCTCCTGAGTATCTGGGATTATAGGTGTGAGCCACTGTGTGCTGCCTATTTTTAATTTTTTAACGTGGCTACTAGAAAATTTAAAATTAAAGGCTGGGCATGGTGGCTCATGCCTGTAATCCCAGCACTTTGGGAGGCCCAAGTGGGCAGATCAGGAGTTTGAGACCAATCTGGCCAACATGGTGAAGCCCCATATCTACAAAAAATACAAAAATTAACCGGGCTTGGTGGCATATGTCTGTAGTCCCAGCTATTTGGGAGGCTGAGGCAGGAGAATTGCTTGAACCTGGGAGGTGGAGATTGCAGTGAGCCGAGACTGCACCACTGCACTCCATGTTGGGTGACAAAGCAAGACTGTCTCAAAAATAATAAAATAAAATAAAATAACATATTTAAGTTGATTGCTGTTTCTGTTTGATAGCACTGGCTCAGACAAATCAGTATCTATTTCCAGAAATGGAGAGGGACAGATTCCTGAACAGAATCATGTTTTGTTTTTTTTTTTTTTTTTTTTTTTTTGGACATCTGATAAACTTTAATAATGATCAAACACAAGTAAAAATAACCACTGAAAATATAAAACTCAACAAGAGACATAAGAAAACAGCAGATGGAAAACAAGAAAAATTCTTATTTTAGAATAATGCTATATGTAACTTGTAAAAGATTTAAGTTCATACATGAGATTATATTGGTTTCCTTATTTAAAGAAAAAAGGAAAAATTACAATTAAGAATAGAAATTAAAATGCAGAACCAAGATAAATATTTTTGGCTCAGCTGAGTGCGGTGGCTCATGCCTGTAACCCCAGGACTTTGGGGAGGCTGAGGTGGGCAGATCATGAGGTCAGGAGTTTGAGACCAGCCTGACCAACATAGTAAAACCCCGTCTCTACTAAAAATACAAAAATTAGCCAGGCATGGTGGTGGGAGCCTGTAATCCCAGCTGTTCAGAAGGTAGAGGCAGGATAATTGCTTGAACCAGGGAGGTGGATGTTGCAGTGAGCTGAGATCGTGCTGCCGCACTCCAGCGTGGGCAACAAAGCAAGAGGACATCTAAAAAATATTTATCTTTTTGGCTCTTAGACTAAAAAAAAGATTAGTGAGGAAAACCAAGAAATAATGGGGAGAGAAAGAATACTACTAATTTTCTCTTCATGATTAAAAAAAAAAAAAAAAACACCTTTTGGCAAGGCATGGTGGCTCACGCCTGCAATCCCAGCACTTTGGGAGGCTGAGGCATGTGGATCACAGGTCAGGAGTTTGAGATCAGCCTGGCCAATATGAAACCCTGTCTCTACTAAAAATATAAAAATTGGCAGGGCATGGTGGCAGGTGCCTGCAGTTCCAGTCACTCAGGAGACTGAGGCAGGAGAATTCCTTGAACCCAGGAGGTAGAGGGTGTATTGAGCCGAGATGGCGCCATTGCACTGCAGCCTGGGCAACAGAGCGAAGACTCCACCTCAAAAAAACAAAACAAAAAAATCCCACCTTTTAACCGTATTTGGGGTGATTGTAAATTAACAGCGATGATCTTTTTGAGCTAAAAAATCAGTGACACATTTCATTAAAACAAAAGGATCAAAGGAACTTTAACCAGACCATACATGTAAAGGCTGTTTAGCTTAGCATTTTCATGGATTCAAAGTACATATTTAATGACAAGCAAACCAATAACCAGAAAAAATGAAGACTGTCCTTCCCTTTATAATGTGATATTAAAGTGCTGCCTCTGGACAATTTATAAAGTAAAGTGTTTGAAGTTTAATTTTTATTACAAAAATTGACACTATTAAAACCAACATGATTATCTTTCACTCATCCAATAACTGAGCTAACAGTATTATAAAAATATGTAAAAAAATTCTAGATTCAGTTACCAGATATGCGAATACCCATATAGCTAGTATAAATCTGATGATTAAAAAAATAATTTTGTTTCCTTAAAAACACTTGGTTCATTTACCATTTAATATCAGATAGATATTTGCTATCCTGAAGTACCAAAAAAATCACAAATAAAAATGGCAATGTCTACACTTTAGGTTTCTTGTTAGGTGGATCCTGAAGACTAAACTTCGGAATTTCACCAGAAGGAGCATATGGAATTCTCTTGGAAGACACCTTTTTGCCAATTGTTTCAATCTGGAAGCCAATGGTCTGCAGTTCATTGTGGAGTCCATCCAGGACACGCCGTCCATCAAAGATAAAGGCTGGCTTCAGCATTTTTTTATGAATACGTTCATAATCCAATTCCTTAAACATGTCCCACTCAGTGCAAATAACAACAGCATGGGCACCATCACATGCTTCATATGGATCCTTGGAAATAGTCACAAGCCGGGACACTTGGTCATCCTCTGAAACACCTGGATGAGAAAGATCCACAACTATTTGTTCCCTAGGTACTTTTGGATCATATATATGGAGGTGTGCGCCTTCATCCATCAAATATTTGCTAATATATATACTTGAAGATTCTCTTGTATCACCAGTGTCCTTTTTGAATGCAAACCCCAAAATAGCTATCTTCTTATCAGTTACTGTATTAAACAGACTATCTATGATCCGGGAAGCAAACCTCCTCCTCTGGTAGTCATTCATGTCTATCACCTGCTGCCAATAACGAGCGACTTCTGGCAAATTCAGAGCCTCACAGAGATAAACCAAATTCAGAACATCCTTTTGGAAGCAGCTCCCACCAAACCCAACACTGGCTTTTAGAAACTTGTTTCCAATTCTCTGGTCCATTCCAATGGCTGTTGCTACCTCTTCTACATCAGCTCCTGTGGCTTCACACAGAGCACTTATGGAGTTAATGCTGCTTATTCTCTGGGCAAGAAAAGCATTTGCCGCCAGTTTGGAAAGCTCTGAAGACCAAGTATTAGTGGTGAGGATCTTTTCTCTGGGAACCCAGTGCTCATATACAGCACAAAGGGCCTGCACAGCTCTCTGGCCCTCTGGAGTTTCATCCCCTCCAATTAGTACTCTGTCTGGGTTCTTTAGGTCCTTGATGGCCGTTCCCTCTGCCAGAAACTCAGGGTTGGACAGCACCTGTAAATTCAAGTTGGGTTTTGTGTTTGCATCAAATATGCGACGAATACTTTCTGCTGCCCGCACTGGAACCGTGCTTTTCTCAGTGACAATTTTGTACCCATTTGAGTTTTGCACAATGCGTCTAGCACAAGCTTCAATATACTTCAGATCTGCTGCCCGGCCTTTCCCCATTCCATAGGTTTTTGTTGGAGTATTCACAGAAATAAATACAAGATCAGCTTCTTTGATGGCATCATCAATATTGGTAGAAAAAAATAGATTTTTTCCTCGACAGGATTCTACCACTTCTTTTAGTCCTGGCTCATAAATAGGAAGTGTAGGAGAATTCCACGCATGGATTCTTGATTCATTGACATCAACAACCGTTACCCTGATTTCAGGACACATATGAGCAATGACACTACATGTGGGTCCTCCAACATAGCCAGCAGCAAGCGCGGGGACCGCTCCTATCCCGATCGTTCGGACAGCACCTTCCTACGCGCCGGGCTGCCGCAGCTTCTCCACCCGCGCCCCGCTCTGTCCGTGCTCCCTCTCGTCGGACGCCTCTCCCTCAGGCTGCCACGCGCTGCACCCCGAGTCCAGGGCCTGAGCCCGTATTTAAAGGCTTCGGCCCAAGAAGGTGGAGGCTTCATTCCCCCGCAGCCAGGCCCTCCTGGATTTTGCCCTCTGCCTCTTTCTAGCTCCCCCTTCCGCTACACCTGTTTTGTTTTTTTAAGGAGGAGGAAGTATTTTCTTTTTGAAATAATCCATGCATTATATTTCTTTACAGATATTTAACAGAGAGGATGGATGAAGGGCAAACAATGAGAGGCTATACATTCACTGAGAACTATTTATGTGCAAAAGTGCTGTGCTCAGTGTTGTGGGGAAAAGAAATTGCTGACCATGTAGGGGGAGATAAGATATGTAGGCTTGTGAGAGGTGAAGATAAAGGCTGTAGAATTTCAGACCTCAGAGATATTCTGTCTTGTGTGACAATGGAAGGCTAGCTTGATCTGGGCCTTGAAGGTAGATGGGGTTTCAATAAAAGAAGTCAGGTGGAGAGAGATGGCTTGGGAGGCATTCTAGGTGGAGAGAAAAGCACAGAGAAAATGCTGAGGCAAGAAAGCATAAACTGAAATTTAGTTTAGCCAAAGCTGAGTAGTAAAGAGAGAGAAGACTGGGTCACGTTGGTAAAGGCCTTACAGCACCAAGGTGAATCTTAGTAGCAGCTTTATTATGGGATGCCTGAAGGGAACATTTATTAGAGGCATAGGCAGCAGTAAAACACATTGTTAGGTACTTTAGCAAAGGAGCTTAATTAAGCCAGGTTGCACCTCTCCTATTGCTCTTAGGAAATATCCACAGGTCAGATCAGCATAATTTAATGACTGGGAGCATGGTTCTAATCCCACCTGTGCAATTTTATTAATTTTGAGATTTTGGGCGATTCACTGCTCTTTGCCTCAGTTTCCCTATCTGTAAAAATGGGAATGATGGCTGGGCAAGGTGCTTACACCTGTAATCCCAGCACTTTGGGAGGTTGGGATGGGTGAATCACTTGAGGTCAGCAGTTCAAGACCAGCCTGGCCAACAAAGTGAAACCCTGTCTCTACTAAAAATACAAAAATTAGCCAAGCGTGCTGGTGAGTGCCTGCAATCCTAGCTACTCAGGAGACTGAGGCAAGCAATTGCTTGAACCTGGGAGGCAGAGGTTGCAGTGGGCCAAGATTGTGTCACTGCACTCCAGTCTAGGTGACAGAGTGAGACTCCGTCTCAAAAAAAACCAAATAAACAAAAAAAGAGAATAATAATAGTAGTACCTACTTCATAGAATTGAGAATTAACTGAGTTAATATATGTAAGGCTAAGAATACACAATGTCTGCACATATAGTATGTACTATATAAGGGTTTGTTTAAAAAAAATTGGTTTGCTATTGCTAACTACACATAAGCAACTAGGAAGCCACAGTCAGGAAAAAAAAATTTTTTTCCTCAAATCTATATCTATGTAAGTAATAACTCTATGCGTATAAAGAGAACGCACAGAGAGAATCCTGGGGGAAGAAATGCCACTGTTAGGTCAGTCTGGCTAGTTCTACATCCCCTGCAGCACTTGCTAACCCTGCTTTGCTGATCTCAACTGAAATTGTTGCGTGTGTTTACAAATAAATCTCCAAGTATTTAACAAAATCGGAGCAAAATGCACTAATTAGGTCTAAGCATTTTTAACAACAAAAAAAGGATATTTTTCAAAATTCAATGCTGAATTGGGCTTTTTTTTTTTTTCTGAGACTGAGTCTTGCTCTGTCACCCAGGCTGGAATGGTGTTCAATCTTGGCTCACTGAAATCTCCGCCTCCCGGGTTCAAGCAATTTTCCTGCCTCAGGCTCCCAGCTAGCTGGGATTACAGGTGCCTGCCACCATACCTGGCTAATTTTTGTATTTTTAGTAGAGATGGGGTTTTGCCATGTTGGCCAGGCTGATCTCAAACTCCTGACCTTGTGATCCGCCCGCCTTCGACTCCCAAAGTGCTGGGATTACAGGCATGAGCCATCTCGCCGGCTTTTTTTTTTCCTTTTTAAATTGCCCGTCTGCCTCTCTTTGTCTCTCCTTTCCTTTCACTAGGAGATTGTGAGAAGTAAATAATATTTTCTGGCTGGGTGTGGTGGCTCATGCCTGTAATCCCAGCACTTTGGGAGGCCAAGAGGGGCAGATCACCCGAGGTCAGGAGTTCAAGACCAGCCTGATCAACATGGAGAAACCCTGTTTCTGCTAAAAATACAAAAAATTAGCTGGGCTTGGTGGTGCATGCCTGTAATCCCAGCTACTTCTGAGGTTAGGGCAGGAGAATTGCTTGAACCTAGGAGGTGGAGGTTGCAGTGAGCCAAGGCTCCGCCATTGCACTCCAGCCTGGGCAGCAAGAGTAAAAGTCTGTCTCAAAAAAAAAAAAAGAATGTTTTCTGAATGTAGATAAATTGCTTAAGTCTCTTAAGGTGACTGTATATACTAATATCCTATAGGGACAGGTTTTCTGTTGTGGCCTGGGTGTAATTATTCACATGGTCATGTCATCTACAGGAAAAGGAGGGGGCAAAAATGCACTTGTGTGTATTCGTGAATCGGGGGTGTGTATTAGTGTATTTGTGCATCCCCAGGGACTGGAAGGAAGATTTAGAGGGCAACTTGTAAATCTGGATGACACCGTGGGCTGTGGGGCTGGCAGGAAGCTGTCCTGGAGAGGGCACAGTGTGGCCAGGACAACAGGGAGGAGAGGCACTGGCCAGAGGGGATTTGTCAGAGGTGATGCCTTCCTTCCCTAGCAGGGCATGTGCTCCAGATCTCGTGCCACTTGGCATGCAGAGCCTGGGTGCAACCTGCGGAAACTTGGTGGGCTGTGCCCCAACCTGGGTGTGGGTGTGGACCTGGTCTTCCTGGGGATGCTGGTGGGGCCTCTGGGAGATATTTAGGGCTGCATCCTGGACCTCTTCTATTCGATGCACTGGCAAACACACAAACAACAAAAAACCAGGGTATTCAATATGTTCTATTGATTTTTAAATGTTGGCTGCAGCTGCTACATTCCTCGAGAGTAACTGAGTCCCACACAAAAAACCTTAGGCTCAACAGATTCTGTATTAGATGACTGCATTTTTTTCTGAAATAATCTCCTAACCACCAGGCCTCTGGCCAATTTCTTTTCCGAGTTCCTGTTCCTGCCAGAAAGGGCAAATTCACATCTCATGAGGTCCAAACTGGCCTCTCACAAGTACAGCAAAGCTTTTCAACCTTGGCCTGGAAGCGGAGGCTTGAGATGTGGGACCCTTGGGCTATTCCCCCACCCCTCCTCCCGTAGTTTTCTGGTGAGTTAAAAAAATGTGTGCAGGGTCCTATCCAACCCCACTCCCGGGCGAGTTGATCTGTGGTCTTCTGGTATTTGTTATTTGCTGCCCAAGTGACCCTGGCCTCTGGGAATGAGGCCCTGGACCTTTGCTTTTAGGTCCCAGAGCTTCTGTGGGGTTTACACAATTCTCATAATTATATTTCAATCTTAAGAGCTAGTTCTGCATTTTAGGCTAGAAAGCAAGAAACGAGGGACAGGAAAGTCACTTTTTGCCTAGTGTTCCTGCTGCCCCCAGCAACCAGCCTCTGGCGCTTCGGGTGTAAACGCGGGTTCTGAGGCCCCACTGTGACTTTCCATTGTTCACAAGGCCCTAACCCGACGCGCCGACTGGGCTGAGTCATTCTAAATTCCTTTCTTTGTGTTTTCTCTCTGCGATCTCGCAGAAATGGTTGCTCTACTAGGCATCTTTCGTTAAACCAAAAAGGAAAAAAAATCTGGCCTTTGATACTTCTGATTCACGAATCAGCTAAAATATGAGTCAAACTCAGTTTCCTGAGAGCAATAAATATTTACTGTACCCCACCCTACCGGGAAATACCCACAGTCCATGTTTCTCCACTGAGTGGCTCAAATCTGGAGGCTTTCTTTGGTGTCAAGGGTAAAACAATCCCTGCTGTGAGTGGTTTTTAGGACAGTGAAACTGTAACATATTCCAAGTTTCTGAAGACAGAGGGTGTGTGTGTGTGTGTGTGTGTGTGTGTGTGTGCTTTAAAAAACAGTTCTTTAAAATGTATTTTTTAAAATACAAAGTCCTAATGGTGAAAGCTGTGGACATTGACGCTGGGATAAGAGAGTGGAGAAAGTAGTGAACTGAATAGCATCCTCCAGGAGTGTCAGTGTTTTGTTTTCTGGTGTTTTTTTGGCAAGAAAATATGGGTCATTTGGCATGGCCAGTAGGCTGACATGAATATCAACAAGGGCCACTTTGTAGGCCGCAGAAGCCACCTTACTTTGAGGGTGTTGTGGGGAGGAGCACTCCAACCTGAAGCCCAAGGGCCAGAGACCCTGCATTTGGGGTTCTAAAGTCCGGGGAATGGTTCTGGGGCTGACTTTGAGTTTTTGTATTTGTTTTTTACAATGTGTTCTTTTTCTGATTGTGACTATTATTTTTAACTATCCAAAGCAATCTACAGAGTCAATGCAATTGCTATCAAAATACCAATGACAGTCTTCACAGAAGTAGAAAAAAAAATCCTAAAATTAATATGGAACAATAAAGACCCTAACTAGCCAAAGCTATCCTAAGCAAAATGAACAAAGCTGGAGGTATTATACTACCTGACTCAAAATATACTACAAAGTGATAGTAACTGAAACAGTATGGTATTGGTATTAAAAATAGACATAGACCAGTGGAACAGAATAGATAACCCAGAAAGAAATCCATGTATTTATAGCCAACATTTTTATAAAGGCACCAAGGACATATACTGGGGAAAGGACACCTCCTTCAATAGATGATGCTGGGAAAACTGGATACCCATATACAGAAGTATGAAACCGGCCCCCTCAGTGAGTCTGGACACATTGCCTATGAGTTAGCCCTGCTCCTCATGGAGCAGAGAGAGAGAAAAATAAAATTCTTACCATATACTAAAATCAACTAGTCTGGGTGTGGTGGCTTATGCCTGTAATCTCAGCACTTTGAGAGGCTAAGGCAGATGGATCACTTGAGCCCAGGAGTTTGAGACTAGCCTGGCTAACATGGCAAAACCCCATCTCTACTAAAAATACAAATATTAACCAGGTGTGGTGGCACATGCCTTGAACCCGGGAGGTGGATGTTGCAATGAGCTAAGACTACACC